TGTTTTCTGGTGGAGAGCAGGGAATGACGAGAGCAGGCATTAGTTACATTGATTTTTATGCTTTTGCTGCAGGTCACACAACATATTCCACTTGCAACGGGTAAAACCTGGCTGATAAATACTTCATTAAGCAGTTAATCACATACTAGAGATTAAATCACCTGGCCATAAACAAGACTAGAAACGAGCCAATGCATTCCACTGTTAGTCACAGAGTGATCTATTACATATTTATCGTATGTTTTGCCTATCATTTATTAAATCCTTCTAAGAGGATGTTCAGTCCAAGGAATTTGAGCTGTGCCTTGCACTGCCAGCCCTCAGGAGGGGAGGCTGCCCTCGCAGGCTGCCCATGCTGATGATAACCCCAGACCCACTGAGCTGCTCCTGCAGCAGCCAGAGCATGAGGAAACCCCTGCCTGGTCTCAAATCCTCTCCTGGATGAGGAAATCCATCCTATGAAATGGTTCTCTAAAACTTACCATGAATAAAATCCCTGTTTATCTGGGAGATGTTTGTTCCATGTGCCCAGGTAGATCTCAGATTGCCCCAAAGCCCACAGGAACCCCTGGGAAAGGCAATTCAGAGCCTGAATTCCTTAAAAATATTGTACCTGTTCTAAGAGCTTTCCATTCCCATATGGAGTGTCTGCACTGCCTGGGAAGTGACTGTCCTGTTCAGGTGGCTGCAGGCAGCAGTGGGAAAGGGAAGGGAGCCCATCAGGAGGTGATGCTGTCTGATCCCAGCTGAGTCACACGTCCTGGAACAAACAGGATTTCTGCTTTAATGGAGAAAATAACACTTTCCAAAGTGAAACCAACTGGAGTCTTTCCACTGAATTCACCACAGCCAGATTCAGGAGACACTGATCTCATTACCCAGAGCTGGACAAAACCTCAGGAGACTCCTGGGGTTAGCAGTTCTCATCCCTCTGGAGCTCTCTGTGTGATCTTTAGCTGATCACCCAAATGACACTTGTGATTAGCTGCACTTTTCATCACTGTGGCCACTCAGAGGCCATGCAGGACATTACTTTCCAACCCTACATAAAAGATTGTGTCCAAAGCCAAGAACAATTTTGATGCATTTGAATCAATCCAATCTGGTTTTAACCAGAAGGTGAGATACTTCTGCTTTCCTCCATGTAGTAGCCAGGTATTTCATACCTAAGGAAAAAAAGGCTCACCAATGAATAAATAAATAAATAAATAAATAAATAAATAAAGCCACAAAAGTTCCTGGCAATTCTGACATGCAAAAGACTTTTGGACCATTAGGAAACCCCCACATTTCCATCAACACCACCTCTGTCATGCAAGCAAGGGCTGTGTGGTGAAGTCTGCATCAGAGAGACGGAGCTGGGAGGAGAGGTCCCTCTCCTTGCATGGCTCCAGCGTGTGCTGTTATTTCAGAGCTCACACGCCTGATGTTGGCAGCACAACCAGCCCTCCATGCTCAGAGTCAGATGCTTGCAGAGTTTGGGATCTCACATCAAAGCCACTGGTTTGGCCAGTGATAAAGTTTGGAACCGACCCCAAACTTCTCAGAATTTCACAGCTATTCCAGCCCTGCACTGGGCTTCCGTCCCTCAGAGCTGTAGGGAGCAGCACAGCGCAGCCACCACGGCCCAGCAGGACCTGGATCAAATGAGCATTCGGGTTTAACTCGCTTCCTAAGTCTTTTTTTTACCTTCAGAAATGATTTCTGGTCCTTTGGGGTGCTGCCACCTCCACCCAGCAGGGCGAGCTGGGTGCCCTGGGCTCCCCTCGCATGGGGCTGGGCTGTGCTGAGCAGGAGCCCTGGTGCAGCTCCCAGGGACTCCTCCTCGGGTGTGCAAGGCTGTGCCCAGGGCTGGAGGGGAGAGGAGCCACAGACACAGCTGCCCGTGCACAAACAGGCTCCAAATCCAGCCCTGCTGTGAGCAGCACCCTTCCAGCCATCTCCTCTTGGAATGTTCTCCTCCTCCATGGGGCACCAGCTAACCACGAGTGTGGTGTCTCTCAGCTTTGCATATTTGAGAGAGCTTTCTGCTCTGCTTTGAGCTATTTCATAGCATTGTTGGGCTGCTACCCAAAGAAATAAGGCCCTTTATGTTGTCTTTGGTTCAGGTTCTCCCTCTCACTTGAGCTTTTTAATTCCCATAAAAACCTAACATGCTTCTGCCAAAAGTAGAATGCTAGGGCCATGAGTGGTGGTGTTTGTAGAGGAACAACTCCATGGCCATAAAGTCTGAGAACAGCGATAGTATTTAGGAGACAAGGGGAGTGGAAAAGTGTTCACTGAGCTTTGCTGGGACACTCAGGGCAGCTGGCAAGCACTGGAGTCTTCCTGAAAATAGAAAAAATAACCTTAGAGGAAATTAGTGATGATGAAGGAGCTGTTTCCAGTTGCGCTGCTCTGGTCAAGCTGTCTGGAGATGCCCTCAGACCTCGAGGTGGCTGTGGTGGAATCCAGCCTGCTCCTCATCCTCTGGCTGCAGATCCTGCTCAGAGCCCTTGGATCTGGGCTGTTTGCTTCTCAACACCATCCATCATCAAGCTAGGAGACTTCTGGGTGCCTTTTACCCTCAGATAAAGGCTCAAGAAAAGCTTTGGTTCTAGGAAATTACCCAGTGCTGCAGATGTTGATTAAAGCTCAGGGGAGGACCAGAGCCCTGTGTGCCAGCCTGGGTGACCTGGCTTTTCCTTCAGGGAAAGGCTGGCAGCTGGCAGCTGAGAAGTAGGATGTCTTGAGAAAAAAATAACTTTTTATTATTATTTTATTGAGAGAAAAATAACTTTTCTTGAGAGAAAACTTCTTGAGAGAAAAATAACTATTTCTTAGACACTAAGAAATCATTTCACCTGACAATGGTGTTAAACCAAGATGTTGAGTCTGTATTTGGCACCTCCTGCTCTGGAAAGCACCAGGAGCCAGAGAGCTTCTGAGGCTGCATCTCCAGCCTCCTGCCCACAGGTGGGGGCTGGCCCATGTTGTCACTCCAGAAAGCACTTCCCAAAATCCCAGTCTGTGTCAACTGGGGCGTCTGAGGGCCTGGGCTGAGGTCTGTGTAGGCAGCAGAGTTGGTGCAGTGCTGGGGGTGCTCTCACCAACAGCCACACTCTTCATTTCCAGGAATCCATCTTTAGGCAATCCAACTTCCCAAGGTTTTTACTCTCTGCAGGCATCTGGGATCCATTTCCAGGAGTAGTTTCCTCTTCTTGCAGCTGCTTTTGCAGAGTTTTTTAAATACTAAAGACTTTAGAGGTGAGTGTTCAGAGATTCTCTGTGTATGTACATGTGTGTGAGTGTGTGTGCTGCCACCCTCAGCATCTGCCAGGGCACTCCAAGCACCACAGCAAACCCACACTGTGTGGTACTGGCTCCATCCCAGCGTGCCAGCAGCACAACTCAGTCCTAAAGAGACATTTTTACAATCTATAAACACATATAAACACTGACTATAAAATATTTTCCATAATATAGCTGTGGGAATACATGACATTTAAAGCAACTTCTTGTACCTAGATTTATTCTGCGCCGTGTCTTTTTCTGTTCATAAATCCACTTCTCTCCAAGCACTACAGAACCCTGTAGAATGAATTAGTGGGAGATTTTAAATGTAGTTTCTAGGCTGAAAGCATGACTGTACCTGGAATATCTGTGGGACTCTGGCCCCACCTGTGGCACCTCCTGATGCCACGTCTGCGATGGCACTTCTGTGACAGCACTTCTCACTGCTCAGCCTCCAGCATCCACAGCTCCTTTCTTTGATTGCCCCGGTGATGCCTTCAGGTTTTGGCTCAGCATCTGCTCAAGCACGGATTGTGACCACAGGCTCCAGCAAAATGAGGTTTCAATGATCTTTCATTAGAGCAGCTCGCTCCAAGCCCCAGTGTCCTCCCTGGCCTTGGGCACTCCCAGGATCCAGGGGCAGCCCAGGCTGAGGGTCCTGTGCCAGGGCCTGCCCACCCTCCCGGGGAAGGATTTCTTCCCAAAATCCCATCTAACCCTGCCCTCTGGCAGTAGAAGCCATTCCCCCTTCTCCTGTCCCTCAGATCCTTGACCAAAGCCCCTCTCAGCGCTCTTGGAGCCTCTTCAGGCACTGAGATGCTGCTGGTTGACTCATGGCATGTTCTAGGCTCAAAATTCCCATTTTCCAAATGCTGTTGTTCAGAGTCTTGGTAAATCTGCTCAGGCCAGGCAGTGAAAGCTCCTGCCCCTGCCTCTCTCCCACCACATCTAACGTGTGTCCTGACCTTTTCCACGTGTGTCCTGGGCAGGTGAGCTGCAGAGTGTCAGGAGATGAGCAATATTTACTACCTGACATGCAGTGGGTGTTGCAATTCCTGCTCATAATTGTGTCTGAGAGTTATAATAGTGGAGGGAGAGTTTTACCTGGGCTCCCTTCCCACCTCTTGTGGGTTCCAATCAGACGCTGGGTGTTTTCCAAACTGGTTTTCTGAGCGTGTAATTTTAGCACGTACGTCAATAGAAGGGAGAACGAAAACAGAATTCACCGTGATAAAATTAAAAAGGACAGAGTCCCTCCTGCCCAGCCCCACCCAGCCAGGAGACAGCCCCCCACACCTCCCACGCTGGGGGAGCATCCCCTTGGGCGGGGGCCAGCCTGGGACCCCCGGGCTCCCTCCCTCCATCCCTGCCTGCCTTTAAAACCTGGAAGCAGCACAGCATGTGGCAGCGCTCGGTGCCACCCCTGCTGTCACCCGGGACCCCCAGGTTCCCTCCCTCCATCCCTGCCTGCCTTTAAAGCCCAGCAGCAGCAGCAGCAGCACTCAGTGCCACCCCTGCTATCACCCAGGACCCCCAGGCTCCCTCCCTCCATCCCTGCCTGCCTTTAAACCCTAGCAGCAGCAGCATGTGCCAGCACTCAGTGCCACCCCTGCTATCACCCAGGACCCCCAGGCTCCCTCCCTCCATCCCTGCCTGCCTTTAAAACCTGGAAGCAGCACAGCGTGTGGCAGCGCTCGGTGCCACCCCTGCTGTCACCTCTCTTGCAGCCCGGCCCCGGCACAGGCTGCGGGATGGCCGAGGGGGAGATCAGCACCTTCAGCGCCCTGACGGAGAAGTTCAACCTGCCCCCGGGTAACTACAAGAAGCCCAAACTGCTGTACTGCAGCAACGGGGGGCACTTCCTGCGCATCCTCCCCGACGGCACCGTGGATGGCACCAGGGACCGCAGCGACCAGCACAGTGAGCACAGTGTCCCGGGGGGCAGCCGGGGGACGGGAGCTGCAGGAGGCTGTGGGACAGCCCACCTGCCAGGGCCACACGCCCGCAGCTGGCACACGGGGCAGGGAGGGCTCACACGTGTGCTGTGCAGGCGTGGTGATGGAGCCAGCCTGGCTCAGGGGCTCCGTGTGGGGAAAAGTCTCTCCTCCAGCCCTGCTCCCAAAGAAAGGCTCAGCAGTCTCTGTTGTTGGGTCTCAAGGCAGTTTATTGTGAGTTATCTAAAAGATTTTCTCCTTGGGCTGCTGTGGTTTGCTCAGAGCTCAGGCAGAGGCACACACACACCCTGACATCCTCTCTGACCCCGACTGCTTCTTCTCTCCCCGCCAGGGCTGCTGCTGTCTTTTATATGGGACATTACGTGTGACATGTTCACAGTTTTCCCCAATGCCTGTTACCTATATGAAATGGTGATTTTCTATCTTTTATATGGTACATTACATGTTACATGTTCACAGTTTTCCCCAATGCCTGTTACCTATATGAAATGGTGATTTTCTATCTTTTATATGATACATTACGTGTGACATGTTCACAGTTTTCCCCATGCCTGTTACCTATATGAAATGGTGATTTTCTATATTTTATATGGTACATTACATGTTACATGTTCACAGTTTTCCCCCAATGCCTATTACCTATATTAAATAGTGCTTTTCTATCTTTTATATGGTACATTATATGTTACATGGTTACAGTTTTTCCCCAATTTTACCTATATTAAATGGTGCTTTTCTATCTTTTATATGGTACATTACATGTTACATGTTTGCAGTTTTCCCCAATGCCTATTACCTATATTAAATGGTGCTTTTCTACTCTAAACCAATCTGTGAGTGCCAACATCACCAAGAACATGGAGGTGAGGAAGGAGAAAGAGGGAGGACAGGGCAGGCCCAAATCCCAAATCCATCTTAAAACCTCTGACCCCCATGGACAAAACCAAAACCCCACTGTACAGCACTAAAAAAATTTTCCCTTTACTTTGTGACTACTTCTACTCTAATATCTAAACTTTTGTGACTTCTTGCTCTTCCTGCAAGGTTGGTAAATCATTCCATGGCTCACACCCAAAATCCCAGCTGTTTGCAGCTGCCTGCCAGGGTCTCAAATGCTTCTGACCTGGGCCCAGAACATCCAAAAATGTCTGAGGGACATTTTGAGTCCCACCAGTGTGGATGTGAGGTACAGGAATGTTCATCTCCAGTACTGAACCTGACACTGGCTTCACCTCGTGGCAGGCACAGGGGCACAGCAGGGCTGGCTGGCACAGGAGCTGGCAGGGGGCTCAGGGCAGCCTGGCACCCCACACACACAGCAGCACACGGAATTCTGTGCTGTCCTTGCACTGCCATCGTGTGCCACGGCCATTTCCTGGGTCACCTTTGCCAGGGTGTCCCCTTAGCTGTCCCCATCCCGGCAGTCAGGGACCCTGGTGGCTCCAGCCCGTGGGACACTGGCACCTCTGCTGGGAGGAGCTGCTCCCACTGACTTGTCCCACTGAGGAATCATTGGGAATTCAATGCTTTTTGTGCTCCTGCGTTACCAAAAACTCTTCAGAGGATTTTTTAACCCGCTGCCCAGGAGAGCTGGACAGGCCACACAGCAAAGCTCCTGCAGGGCTCCGTGGGCAGCGGGGCTGGGCTCTTCCCCTTGGCAGCAGCCTCTGGGTTCATATCCTGAACATTTACTGGAATGGGACTGGGACCTGCCAGGCTCCTATCTCGTTAGAAGGAAGGGCTGGGAGGAGCCAAGCCAGCCTTACAAAGTGCTAAGAAAAGCACTTTTATTTTCTTTAAACCACAAGCACGCATTTGGCTTCTCCCCCCAAAACTTAACCTTTCCTCTTGCTATTGTTGTTTTACTAACAGGCAGTTTAGAGCCGAGTTTTAATGACAAACACTGTCTCCCCAGCACGAGGCAGTGCTGGGGGATGGATGAAGATGAGCCCCCTGAGGCTGGATAACCACAGCGTGCAGCTCCAGCCTCCAGGCAGGAATAAACCCAGCACATAACCCTCAAACCCCTGGAAAGGCTGTGGTGACCCAAAGGATCTGCAAGAGACAGGACTGGGCTCACAGACACAGCAGGAGAGGCGGTAGGAGCTCAGGCAGTGTCTCTGCAGCATTTTCCAGAGGTTTTGCTGGAGTCAGAAGGAGAAGCCAGGACCAAGATGGCATCTCCTGGGACATGGGGAGCCACCAAGGCCATGAGCCCACTCCTGTGCCCTGCCTCAGGCTGTTGTCTCCCAGCCCAGCCCTTTTCCCTCTGGAAAAGCAGCTCCAGCACCTTGGCGTGGTCCCCAGGGCTGCGCCGTGGGCAGCTCCTGCATCCCCCACCTCCCTGGCTGCTGGCCTGGGGCCACGTGTTTGCAAACCTGTGCCAGAAAGGAACCTCCTGCAAATGATCTCATAAACTGGGATACAGGAATATACTAATATTTACGGAGGAAACTCCTGGAAGGGCTGCGTGCCAGCAGAGCAGCCTTGCTGAGAGGTGCCCTGCTCTGGGCAGCCGTGCTGCCCAGGGCCCTGCCCTGCAGAACGCCTGGAACGTGATGGAGCCCTCAGCATCATTCCCTGTGTGCAGGAGGAGCAGCCCAGACCATGAGCAGCACTGTGGGACATTGTCACCCAGCTGGGACAGGGAGGGACACCCAGGGAGGGACAAGAGTTCTTGGGAGGCCAGTGGGGACAGCAGCTGCACTCGTGCTCTGCCAACTGCCCGTGCCCAAGTGCATTTTGTTCCAAATGCCAAAAATTCTTATTATTCTCTTAAATGGCCTCAGAATCAGGGAGGATCTCTAAGAAGAGCAGAAGGAGTCACTCTCTCTTAGCCTTTGGTGTCCAGCCCCACATCAGGATCCACTTCCCACAGCTTTTATGTGGGCATTCTAAACTTGCACCAAGGAATGGAAAGAAATCTCACCTGGACTCTGCAGATTCTCCAGGATGAAGCTCATGCCCATCTCTACAAAAAGTCTCCTTTTGCCGCTTTCATCCCATTACTTTATGGAAGAAAATCTCTGTACAGACGTGGAAGAGAACCTGAAAGAATTTAGTGCAGCAGCTCCTTCCCCTGGACCACTGTTCTCCCTCCCTCTGTGGCCAAAAGCCTCAGCACCCCCCTGGCAGCAGGAGGGTCCCTCCCTCCCCTCTCTCAGGGACAGCTTTTAGCACAGCATCATCCTTTTCATCCCCTTTCCCTCTCCTCCCTGGGCTGCTCCTGGGCCAGCTCCCAGGTCTGCAGCACCTCGGGGAACGCAGGTGGGCTGGGGTTTTCCAGGGCACATTCCCAGCCCAAAGCAGGCCAAGGGTTCCTGCAAACCTGCACCCACACTGCTTCCTAATTAACTGTCATTTACTGAGCAGGAAATGCCATAAATGAAATATGTGAACCATTACAGCAAAGATTTCACTGCAATGGGTGTTCCACCAGGCCAAGAGGTAACACTGCCTTTTACCTCATCTAAATAAGGATAAATAAATTAAATATAAACAGGAAGGAAGGAAGGAGCTGGAGCCGAGACATCCGTCCATATTTCATTCCAACCAACCTAAATATTGCTGTTACAAATCTTAGGGAAAGAAGCTGCCTAGGAGATGGGAACGATCGCTGGGAAGAGCTGGAATTTGCAAGTCACTGTGACTGCAGGCACAGCCTTTTCTATTTCCCCATTCTCCATCTACAGTGCTCTGGATAAATCCAGCTGCAGCAGATGGCTGGATGGGATGCTGGATCAGGGGGTTGCAGTGCAGCATCTGGAGTCTGCCCGTCCCTGGCTCAGCTCTCAAAATACTTCTTCATATGTCACTCCTTAAGTGTCTTGTCAAACCACATGAGAAATTTGTAAATTAGAGCCAGAATTAAAACCCCAATCTCCTGTGGCCCATTCCAGCATCGTAACCAAAAGGCTGTCCTTCCTTTGATGTAAAATAAGGGAAAAATTGGTCTTTGGTTCCTAAAGGATGGCTGTGGGATTTCTTTGAAGCAGAGGGTACAAGGAGACACTTTTATTACACACTGTACTGTTTCCTATAAACTCTTTATAAGCCAGACTTCAACAAAATACCCCACTAAGCTTCCTGGCAGCTCTTTATCCCCCCCTTTTCCTATTTTCCTTTCACTGTTGTTGTTTTATCTTTCCTCCCAGTTCAGCTCCAGCTGAGTGCAGAGAGCGTGGGGGTGGTGCACATCCAGGGCACCCAGTCGGGGCAGTACCTGGCCATGGACACCAACGGGCTCCTCTACGGCTCGGTAGGTGGGAGCATCCCCTGGGAGCAGACAGGGCAGGGCTGCAGGGCTGCAGACACCTCACAGCTGAGTAAAGCAAACCACGGGCAGGAATCAGGCTCTGCTTGTGATTCTGGCAGCTGCACGGCTACTCTGCATCTGGCTTTATTTTGGGGGGACAGAAATAAATTAGCCAGTAATGCCGTTTACTGCCCTGCCTCTGACAAATATTGTATTTCCTATCTGACACTGGATAAATATTGTGTTTCATACCTGGGGCAGCAGCTGCTCTGCAGCCCCTCAGCAGCTGCCACCCGGCGTAGGTGTCCCTGCCCGTGGCAAAGGGCTGGAGCTCGATGGTCTTTAAACCCTTCCAGCTCAAACTGCTCTGGTTCTGTGCTCTGAGCCTGCAGCTGCCACCACCCAGCCCAGGGCCAGAGCAGGAGCCGGGGCCAGGAGCAGCTTATGGGGCACGGGGCTGATTGGACACTGCCAATTAAAATTGCCAGCTCACAGACACCTGGCCACAGGAGTGACCCAGGGGAGTAAATGAAGGCCATCTAGCCCACAGTTTAACAGAGAGCTTTAGTGGGGTGTGGAAATCTCAGGGGTGGCTCTGGATGGCTCCTTAGAGGGGAAGCTGAGCTGGGATTGTCCCTCAGGAACATCCCCCGCTTACGGTCCCTCCCCGGGCTCTCTTTCAGCAGTTCCTGGGTGAGGAGTGTCTGTTCCTGGAAAGGCTGGAGGAGAACCATTACAACACCTACGTCTCCAAAATGCACGCGGACAAGAGCTGGTTCGTGGGGCTGAAGAAGAACGGGAACAGCAAGCTGGGCCCGCGGACTCACTACGGCCAGAAGGCGATCCTGTTCCTGCCGCTGCCCGTGGCGGCCGACTGAGCCCCAGGCTGAGCCGTGACCCCAAACCCCAAACCCAGCTGCTGCTGCCTCCTTGGAGCCCAGCAGTGACCCCAAACCCCAAA